TACTCCAGACTCTTGAGAGTTGGGCCTAGTTAAAATAGAAGGATGTTATATTAAAAAAAATTATTTATTTATGCATATAAAAACTGGGGTACAGGCCAGAGCTGTGGGGCAAGAGGAATCACCAGAGACAGAGTAAGGAGCAAAATAGGCAGATGTACTGAGATACACTGCTGAGGGGAGCAATGGGTGGGACAGGAGAAGATCTGCTGTGCCATGTGGGTCACCCCCCTAGTTAGGGAACAAACTCATTTTGCAGTGGTTGTGGACAGCTTCATAGTGCTGTGCTTTTAATCCATTGCACCACCAGGGAGGGCCCAGGATGCTATAATTTTATATGTACCTCCTTTGCTTGATACATTTCAATGGTCTTGGTCTTTTGTTCACACATCTGTCCTCGGAAGTCCAAAGTTAAAATTCTGCAGCTAGGGTAGCCCACTCACGACTGAGTGCTATCCTGGAGCTAAGAGGGATTCCAGTTTCCTGGGAGAGCGGGAAGGGTTGAAAACCTGCAGGCCTCTCTCCTTTGCAAGTCTCAGCTCTTATTTGTAGCCAAGCATTCAGTTTTTCTGTTGCAGCTTTGCTTTCTGGTCTGTCATAGGGGCATCATAACCCTTGCCCTGTTGACTTCAGAGGGGAGGAGGATCAGATGGTGACTGACAGGGAGGTGCCATGAGGTGTGAAATGCTCTTCAGTGTGTATATGTGTTGGAGAGGGCAGAAGTTACCCAAGGGGTTGCCAGAATTGTGGTCCCAGCTTGGTCTGGCAGAGCAAACACTTCCCTGGGCTAAGGTCAAGCTAGGTCTTCTTTCCACTGTCAACACCAGGGCTTGAGTCCTGTTTGTTGTTCTTGGCTCCTCTCCTAGCAACCAAAGCTCCAAAGAAGGTCCTGTAGAATATTGGGGACCTTGCTTCTCAGCTCACTAAGAAGAGGGACCAGCTGAATCAAGAGCTTCACACCCTGGGAAGAAAGTTGTAGATGATTCTGACCAAATGCAGTAAGCTCTGCTGGCACGTGCAAATTACTGCCTAAGGCTCAACCTCAGCCTTAGCCTGTTGAGGGAACACCCCTGGGGCCCTCAGCATGTGACTGCCATCCAGAGTCTAGCCAAGAAAAGACAGCCTTCACCCAGGACATATCCCATCCTAAGGGATCTACAGTCTGATGAGGAGGTCTGAGCTCCTTCTTGGAGTAAATTAGTTTTCTAGGACTGCTGTAACAAATACACAAACTTGTTGGCTTAAAACAATAGAAACAGCCTTTCTGGACTATTGGCCATCACTGTGCTTGCTGATTCTGACTTCATGTGGCCTTCTCCTGTGTCTTTCTTTTCCTTTTCTGTCTTACAAGAACAGTCATTCTTGGTTCTTCATGGTGGCACAGGGGTTAAAGTCTCAGCACTATGAAGTTATCCCCAGCCACTGCAACATGAGTTGGATCCCCAGCCAGGGAGGTGACCTATATGGCTCAGCAGGCCTCTTCTCTTTTCTACCCACTGCTCCCCTCAGCAGTGTATTTCAGTACATCTGTCTGGTCTGCTCCCCACTCTGTCTCTGGTAAATCCTCTTACCCCTGACATCTCTGGCCAATGTCCCAGTTCTTGTATGTATAATAAATTAAAAAAGTGTTAAAAAAATGCATTCTTGGATTTAGTACACACTTTAGTTCAAGATGATCTTCTTTTGAGACCCTCAGCCTAGTTACTTCTGCAAAGACCTTTATTTCAAATTTTGAGGTTCAGAGTAAACATCTGTTTTTGAGGCCACAATTCAATCTGCCAGAGGATGCCTCCAATTTGATGGGGGAGACATAGGCCCTTTCTGGAAGAGTCTAGCCTGAGAGAAGAAATCTGTCCCTACTTCAAGATTTCTCTTTATGAGGGGAAAGACCTTGTTTCCAGCATGGGCCCTAAGACTCTATCTGAGACAGGCATATGAATGGTTTCAGGGAAAGGATTGGCCTTAGCAGAATCCAGGCTTTTTCTATGGAACAATACAGAGCATTGTTGTCCAATTCATGTCAGGATTTGAAGGAGACTTTCTGCCTCCACAGGGCAAGGGAGGCAGGCAAGGCACATGGTCCTCATTTTTGCCCACCACCTTTTTTCTTCCTCAAGCTCCCAAGTGTTAATGAACTGATTATCATTGTTACGTAGTTTTTTGAAAGTGAAACTCCATGTGATCATGAACAAAGTGGAACTGTTCCCAAAGGATGGGAGAAGTGTTTTTTTTAAAGATTTATTTAATTATGCATATAAGATCTGGGGTGCAGGCCAGAGGTGCAGGGGGTGAGAGGACTCACCAGAGACAGAGTGGGGAGCAGAATAGGCAGAATGAAATACACTGCTGAGGGGAGCAGCAGGTGACACAGGAGAGGTCTGCTGTGCCATGTGGGTCAGCTCCCTGGCCAGGGATTTAACTCATGCTGCAGTGGCTGTGGATAGCTTCATAGTGCTGTGATTTAACCCACTGTGCCACTAGTGAGGGCCCATTTTCCCACTCTTTCGATTCTCACTGAACAGAGAGCCCTGCACGTGCAAGCTTTGCTACAAGTTTCTGAGACTCTTGTCTCAGCTTTTTGTCTACCCATTCAATCCCTGGGACTCCTTACATCTCACTGACTTTCCTCCCCTATTAAGGTTTTCTTAAAGACAAAATTGCATGCCATTTTGCCTTTCTAAGGCTTTGCAGTTAGTTGATCATTATGAAGAGACCCAATGTTACTAAGTCATTAGACTGGGGAAGGATTGCAAATTTCAGAGACCTAGGAAATTTCTACCAGCCCTGGTCCAAGGACTAAATGGACAGTCAGCAACCTGTCTATGTCACTGTTCTTAGCCTTGGCCTAGAGACAACACCCTAGTTGGGCTAAATTATCCAGGTTGGAAGCTGAGGCAGTTTTCTTCTGGGTGATACTGTTCTGGGTGACATCATCTATTACCCTCCCCATTAATTTTGCTTCCTGAATTCTACCCTGCCTTCTTCTCCTCCTTAAGAGAAACTTTACCACTCCCAGAGGATTCCCCAGTCCTTCAAGAAACAGGGTAAATAAAGCCTGTGCATGTTTGCTTTTTGTAGTAATGGGTGGAGTTGGCCTGACAAACAAACCACCAGGGGGAGCCTGTGCCTAAGAGACTGAGGCGGGGGCCCTAGGAAGCAACTCAGGAATTTCCTTGTGGTCTTTCCAGAGCAGTAAGGCCATGCATTTCCGCTTGGGGTCCGCCTACCCAGGCTGGAAGTCTAGAACTGCTCTCTCCACACTGACTCTTTCCCTGTTCCTGATAAACCAGGTCAGTGTGAACCAAATTATGGTGTATATAGCACAGTATGGAATACCTCCAAAGGACGAGTTTCCTGGCAGCCATAATCAAAGTGGGAATCAATCCTCCAGTCCCTGAATTCACCTCACAATCCCCACTAGCCCCGGCTACCCATCTCTGCCCTAGAGCCTCACCCAACCCAGGACTTCTCACCCTATGTCTTCTGTTTTGGGGATCAGTAGGTCCTGAGGCATCCCAGTTAAGTCCATCCTTTATCCCACCCCTTCTACTCTCAAGCTGGCTCTGGCTGTGCTGAATGGCTTCCCACCCTCCACTGAGGTAGCATGGTTCTTCCTTCAGGTCCAACTGACTTATTTCCCTCAATAGCAGGTCTGGATCAACTCAACAATGAGTCTGGCCTTTGGGAAGAGGGACGAAAGTCAGAGAATTCCAAAAGCACAGAGCCTATTCCCTCCCCACGCCCCTACCCCCCATAAGTATTTACATCTGTAATAATTGAAATTACTATAAAGCTAGTATTGTGGATCTGCCCCAGTCAAGCTTGAAGGTTACTCTCATTTCATTTTACCCTTAGAGAAAAGTAAGGGCCTACCCCTTCTCCCACATGAGCCTAAAGGAGCACCTTAAGCGGAGGATGAGGATGAGGCTGAGCAAGATCCAACAAGCTGCAGATCCCAGCTGAGGACAAAGGGTAGTTGGGGACTCAAGATGATGCTGAGTATCAGCACCCAAGGTTTTATCATATTCCCAAAACCAGGCTGAGGGGTCATTTGGGTAGAGGTAGCATAGGGACAAACTCTCTTCAGAGGTAGTTCTGTTGACTAAATCCAGAGGAGCATAAACAAGACAATCTTGTTTCTTGCCTTAGGGAGTCAGCAAGAATGAGGCTGCTGCAGCCAGCTTCAGTAACTCTTTTTACTGAGCTGGAGAGCTCTGCAGGTAGCTGTCCTGTTCTGTGGCAATCTCCTACACCAGGGGCTATTCTAGAAATCCTGGGGAGACAGGCATGGGCCCAGGGCCCAACTTGGTTTACAGAAGAGTTCTGGGGAAAGGAACAGAGAGGCTCTACAGACGGTCTCCTCATAACAGGTTGGAGAGAGCTAGCATGGAGACAGGCATGAGGAGTACATTCCTGCCTTGGTATGCAGCAGCTCCTGGGCTGTAGTGAGGTAGTGTGGGCCTTAGGGCTGCTACTATCTAGCTGACCTCAGTTAAGTAATCTTTCTAAATCTCTATTTCCTTACCTGTAAAATGTGAATAATATTAATACTTTCCTTGAGGGGTTATTAGAAGCATAAAATGAGGGAGTATAATAAAGACTAGCAAGGTACTTGGCACACTGAATAATCATAACTGTTAACTGTTTTTATTTCTGGAAATAGCCATATTAGCCAACAGATCTAGATTCAACCATCCTTTCTTTAACTCACATTACTCTGAAAAATTCATCTATTAAAAAAAAAACACCTACAATCTATATATATTTTAGAATGTTCTCTAACACCAACAGCCAAATTTCTGTGGGCAAAAACTGTGTGTCTTCCAAACAAGTCAATTCTGACACTATCTGGAGTTAGCCCTGAATCAGTCCCAGAACTGCCTGGACTTCTAACGCCGGTCATTGGTACTTCTGACTGACTGGTGTAAGTTGGAAGGTCAGATGGTCCCCCCCCCCCCTTAGATTTGATAATTTGCTAGAGTAGCTCACAGAATGCAGGGAAATACTTTACTTACTTTTGCTGGTTTATTATAAAGTCTATACAACTGGGAAGCAGGCAGACTGAAGAGAATGAACATTCCAACCCTCCATTACTTGGCATTTCTGGTGAAGAGCCCCATCCAGAGGTGGATCTAGGGGCCTTATTCTAAGTCATCTCATTAGTATTCAATGCAGGTGTGATCTTATGGGTCTCTTAGGAATAACAAGATACTCCTAACACTCAGGAAATTCCTGTGCTTTAGGAGCAAATATATTGATTGTATCACAATATTTAGCATATATATATATATGTTTAAAAATTGCTCCAGGAGAAGAATATTGCACATACAGCCCCTTATGGGCCTCTCCACTGTCTAGGTACACTTTTCTGATCACTATAACTTAGAAATGATTTTCAGCATGAGTCAGTCATACAGTGGCCCTGTCCTGATGGTGCCCAGGCCTCCAGACCTGGGTGATCTGATACCTGGAGGCTAGTCACCGGACCCCGAGGTGGGGTGAGGGGTGGAAGGCCTAGGTCCCATAGGGAATCCTCATATAGGCTTAGAACTGGGCCAGAGGGCTTTCCTTGAGTTGCAGTCTGCTCCAGCAGGGCTTTCAGCAAGCCCACAGTGAGAGGGGGCTCGGCTCCAGATTCAGGGAAGGGGGTGGGGGGTCCCAACTCATCTGGGAGATGTGTCCGAAGTAGAAGCAGAAGTTCAGCTGGAGGTAGGTCTGGCGGGCATAGGCGGCAAAGAAGGGGGAGGTGAGCATCAAGACGGCGGTGCCGGGCAAATTCAGCTAACAGTAGTTTGAAGATCTCACTTCGAAGGAGGGGGCTTGAGGGGCCGAGAGCCAGGCCAGCCTCTAAAGCACGCTCCCACTGCTCCTTTTGCACCAGCTGCCTCACGGCTTGGAGCACTGCTTTGGGCCGCCCACTGCCCAAGAGTATTTCAAGCTCCAGTGCCTCAGGCCTGGTCCCCTCTTCACCTAGTACTGCTAAGGCTCGGCGATACAGGGGCAGTCCTGGGCCTCCTGCTCCCCAGCCGGGCCCACCCTGCTGCTGTGCCAGCTCTACAAAGGGTGGCAACCATTGTGGCTCCAGCTGGCAGAGGCACTGGCACAGAAGTTCAAAAAGGGGCAGTATCCCACTGGGGAGCTCCTTTCCAGCTGCTGCACCCCCTAGTACCTTCTTCCACACATCAGGGGGAGCATGGGATTTCAGCCTGCCATTTCCATCTGGCTGTAGCTGCAAGGCCCTGAGGATGGCGCCCCAGGCTGCTGTAGGAAGGACTTGGAAAATGGCATTGAGCTGAGCCAGCTGGTCTCCCATCAATTCGGTCCTCAGCAGACGCGCCACTTCATGCTCTGCCAGCTCTGTCCAGCCAGCCTCTTCCTCATCCCCAGCCACCAGTTGGGCTTTGAGCTGCTCTAAGCCCCGGTAATCCCGAAGTTCAGCTCTCAGTGTGGTCAATAGTGTAGATGGGGACACGTGGCCCTGAAGGATGGAGGCCAAAGCCTGAGGCGCCCGGAATGTGCTGTTGTGTCTTAGTTCATCTGGGGTGAGCTGAGCACCCCACAGGCTCCGGCGCTGATAGTACTTGCAGGCCTCCTCAAACACCAGGTCTTCAGCTGAAGGTAATTCAAGGCCCAGTGGGGCTTCCCAGACTACTCCAAAGAGACCTAAGGCTGAAAGCAAAGGCAGACATCCTCGGGGCTCCAGCTCTTTCTCAGTCTCCATGCCAGGGAATGGAGGCTCCAGCAAATGTACTCGGTCTGTATTTAGGACCTTCCTCTCCAGCAGCTGCCCGCTGCCCAAGTCCAGCAGTTCCAATGTGGAGCCCAACACACAGGCTAGCGTGCCATGAAATATTCCCAGTGCTGCAGATCCTGCCGGGCCTACAGGTACCTCCGGCAGGGTGCCTACAAGCCGAACACCACCATGGGACTGCACCAGTCTCATGTTGCCCCTGAAGTCAAGCAACAGAAGGCCTTGTGCGGTTGGGGCCCAGGTATGTACAGTTAATGGCTTCCTGGGGGACAGTAGCCCAGGAAGACCTCGAAGTAGGGTCCGGAAGTCCCAAGTGTCCCCTCGTTTGGGATTCAGGCTCTTACTGTGGGAGAGGCCTAGACAAGGAGCAGCCACTGTCACCTTGCCCTTGCCTGGGCTCCAGATGAGTAGAATGTGGGCCACTCCTGGCCAGGTGGTGGCAGGGGGCACCAGGAAGAGATCCTTGCGGGAGGCTAGCAGCTGGAAAGGAGGGCAGTTGTGCAGCAGAATGTGTGTGAGGCCCAGGTTGGCTCCGGCCTCCCGGCTGGGCTCCAGGATCCTGACGCACACGCAGTGGCTGAAAGCTGCGGTGGGCTGCCCCAGCCGGCCCTCAGCACCAGCCTGCCGCTCCTCACACCATACCAGCCGGCCTCGGGGCGCCGCCACTGCCACCACGCGGGCTCCACCGCCCGGACACAGCTCTGCGCTCTGCAGCAGTCGCCAGTCAGGCCCCACGCTAGTGCCCCACACCTCGGCTAGGCCACTCTCCCACACCAGGACTAGTGCGGGGCGCACGGGCCACGGAAGGAAGAAGGCATCTAGCGGTGAGGGGTGGCCAGCCGGCCAGGAACGCTCTAGCTCCGTGTCGGCTCCACGCACCGCGACCAGCAGCTGCGGGGCCGGCGCCCCCGGGGGTCGCAGCAGCAGTAGGTGGCGGCCGTCCGGGCTGCAGCGGACTCGGAGGGCTGGGTCCCCAGCCAGCAATTCCCGGAGCCGGGCCGCGCCGCTGAAGTTGCTCAGGTTCGAGAGCAGGCGCAGAGACCCCACAAGCTTCATGGTGCCGCCGGCGAGGGACCTCGCCCAGAGCCGGCCGCCCCGTGGGGCTCAGCTCCGCTCTCAGGCCGGGTTCCCCGGCGCTGGTTGAGAGATGCACCGAGACTTCCGTCCCCCGTCGATGAGGTGGGCGGAGGCTGGGTCGGTTCCGCCCCGCCCCAGAGCTCCGCGCTGCCGGGCGTCCGCGCGGTGCCGGGGAGGGGCCTCCGCGAGCCTCGCCCGGGAGGATCCCGCAGAGCACGCGCGGGTCTCAGCTTCGCCGGACCCGGGGCCCCCGCCTCAGGGAGCGAGGGAGGTGCCCAGAGGCGGGTCTCTGGAGTCTGGATGGCAGTGCCGGCGAGCCCCGGACTGAGCGCTCCTCGGAGAGGAGCATCCTTTTCCTCCCCACCTCACTGTCACCCCTGCCTACTCATTTGTTGGTTCATGAAATGTGTATTGAGCACCCACTAGGTGTTTATCTCTGAGTAGACATGCCCGAACAAAACACAAAACCTCTATTTTATGACGATAAATAATAATCTAGCAGAAAATAATAATGGCCAGTATTTTCAATAGTACTTAATGTGTGAGTCACCTACCCAGCCCTTTTTTGCAGATAAGGAAAATGAAGCACTGAGAGAGCGACTGAGATCACACAGCCATTAAATAAGTGGGTAAAGTAGAGATGGGATTTCAACTGTAAGCTCAGCAAAGGTTTGTTAAGAAGAAGCCAGGTACGGGAAAAGCATTCTTTTGTCTGGGCTGGAGGCTTTTTACTGGTGTTCAGGAACTAGTAAGGTTCATTTCTAGATGCCTTCCTCTTGTGCCTTCTCGCTCATTTTTGTATTGCACTAGGGCTCAAGTTTTTAACCATAAAAAAGTTTACCGTGTAAGCAGATAAAGAAAAAGATCTTCCAAAAAGAATTTTAGCTTCTGGGGTAAGTCCTCCTTGATAAACTTGTATTAAAACTTTCTTTCGCTTCTTACTAACGCTAGAACATGAGGCTGTATAATCACTCAGAAACTTAATTCCTCATCTGTAAATGAGAACTTTACTTCAATATACACCTGCTCAGCATATGTTTTTTAATCTTCCATTTTGCATGAGAGGATACCGAGACTCAGAGAGGTTACAACCGAAGTTAACATAGCTTTTCATACTGCTTTGCACATAATATATATTTAAATTAATGAATTTATTTCCAATCCGTCACAAAGTTGTAATAAAGACCTTGGAACAACATTTCTCCAAACTTTTCTACTGTTTCTACAGGAAACATTTATTCCTAGAAGTAGAATTATTGAGTTCAAAGACTGCGTTATAGCTTGAGAAACCTGCGGGGCCACCGGCATCCATCAGACTCGCAGAAGAGGTTTCCTGCGCGAGGCTCCTTCTCGCGGTGCATTTCGGGAATTGTATTCTTTGCGCTGCTTTCTGGGAGTCGTGGTCTGAGTCAGCCTCAGGAAGCGGGCGTGCACGAACTAAGACCCGGCGGGCTTTAGGACCCGGCGGAGCACGGAGGGCCGCGGGCAGGGTCGGGGGAGGTCGGGAGCGCGTCCGTCAGCCCGGTACTGTGCGGCGTCGGTGGCGGCGGGAGCGAGCGGGCCCCGGCGCTGCGCGGGTGGTGGAGGAGGAGCCCGGGGCTCGGTAAGCGGTGCCGGCCGGGGCGGGTCCCCGAACCTGGCCCAGCTCAGCAGGCCCTGCCATACTAGGCCTCGGCCCTGAGGCGGCTCCTGGGGGCGGGGCCTGCGCTCGCCGAGGGACGGCGGGGGTGACGGGGCTGGGGAAGGGTGGAGTGGGGGGAAGAGAGGGGGACTACAGCGGGAGCGGGCTGGGGCTGAGTGCCTCGAGGAGGCTGGGCCTGGGGCGGCGGAGCCGGGCGAGAAGTGGGTCGCTCTTTGATTGCCGGTGCTGGTTGTGTCCCTTCCGCTCCGGATCCCAGTTGGGGCCTCCTGGCTACCACAGTATTAACCTTTGGCTCTTGCTGGGTTCTGACCCGGCTCTTCCTGCGGGCTCGAGAGCTGCCGCTCCTAGGTCGTCCACGCCCCCGGGTGCCCTCTGTCCCGCCTAGCCGTGGGGTTAGGGCGTGGGCCAGGCAGACCTCAGAGTAGGGCTGGGGGGCAGGCCAGTCTGGCCACAGCCAGCAGGTGTTCCGGAAGGGTCCGCCCCTGTCCCTCTTTTCAGTCTCTAATGCATGGGCTTTGGGTGCCTTTCACGTGAAAATCAATGAAGCTACCGTGTTTTCTCAGGGTGTCGGGAAGAAAAAAGTAAAAAGTGGTGTCTTGGGGAAGCAGTACTGTCAGAAACTGAGCAGTACAGTCTCTGGGGTACTGGAAAGTAGAAACGTGGGCTGGGCCCAGATAATGTTTCATCGTTATCAGACTCACCCCAATTCCTCCTCTCCAGAAAAAGTTTTGAGCTTACTTCTTTGTTATTCTGAGCTCTCAGTGGCTTTGTGAGTAGAGGTAAATATAGTTTTGCCCCGCCCCCTTTTAATTTAGTACAATTTCATTACAATTATTTTGGGTATGCCGTTGGTTGCGTTTGGGTTCACGGTACTTCTTAGGTGAAGACTTTTTAGTTACTTTGATTAATTAGTCTAGGGAAAGCTGGGCCCTGTTATTAGGATCGTAAAAAAAATTCCATTCATAAATGGGAGAACCTTTCAAGTTTTTCTTTTTAAAAATTTTGTTTATTTGTGCACACAGGAACTGGGGCACAGGCCAAGGATGGGGGTGGGCTGACCCAGAGAACCCACCAGAGACAGAGACAGAGTGGGGAGCAGAACAAGCAGACTGACCAATATACATTTCTTGGGGAGCAGTGGGCAAGATAGAAATCTGCTTCACCATGTGGTCAGGTCCCTGGCCCAGGATTGTACTGGTGTTGCAGTGTCTGCTGATAGCCCCATAGTGCTGTGCTTTAATCCCTTGCACCTCCAGGGAGGGCCCACCTTCCAGGTTAGACATTAATATTTCAATCACTTGTTCAGCATTTAAGTAATAATAGTGCAACTCCTTGAAAATGCGACACATTTGACATGAAAGTTACAATTTCAAATAGCCACATTCAGAAATCCATAAAATGTCAAGAAAATAGCCAATTAACAGATTGATCTAGGATCGATGAGTGTGACTTATTTATTCAACATGCATTTATTGAGTACTTACCATGTAACTGGCAGTGGAGTTAGAAATGAGTATCTTTCCTCAAGGACCAGAGAGACTTAGTCATGTGAAAAAAAAAGGAGTGCTATGTGTAACAATCCATAAAAGGAATGTGTACAGTGTAATGGGAAAATAAGGGAAGTCTTCACAGGAGGAGATACTTAAGTTTGAGTTTGAAGGGATGAATAGGAAGGAGCTTGCACACTTAAGGGCATTCCAGTTGGAGAGAATAGCATGCACAAAGGCATTGGGAAAATGTGAGAAAGAAAATAACATGATTTGAAGTGTCAGGTTTGTCCATAATTGGAGATGTGGTGGGAAAGTTGCCAGGAGATGAGACTGAAAGGAGAGTAGGGGGCCACTGGAGCTTTTTAGGTTAGGTAGTGGCAGAGTGCAGATTTTTTATTTTTTAGGTGAACATCTCAGTGTTTATTCACATGCTTTGCTTGCTTTTTTAAGAACAGAGTTGTTCAAATTAAATCTTTCTGCTAGTGTTATGACATAATATCTAAAAGGAAAAAAATACTTAAAATCAGGACATTAAAAGTGCAGATTAAAGGAATGAAAGTGAGACAGTGAGACTAATTAGTTGTTGCAGTTGACTGAGCCTCTAAATAAAGTTTGGGTTTGGGAATGAAGAGGAAGAGAATGGGTTTTAGAAATATTTCTGAGGTGTATGTAACAGGACTAATGACTGGAGAGAAAGAGTAGGCTGAGATTTCTAACTTGAGAGATTGGGTGAATGGGTTTTTCATGGATTAGAAAAAGAGCATATTTTATGAGGAATTAGAGTAGTTATGGAAAGAGGTTTAGGGGGAGATAGTCTGGTATGCTGACACCAGTATATGTGAGGTGTGTGTGTGTAGAAATGTTAATAGCACTTGGAAGTAAGGAAACCTGGTAAGCTTAATATCTCTTCTGACCGAAGTTCTAAGTAAATGAAGGGATATATGAAAAAAATCCTAAAACAATGTTTATTTTGCTTGTTTCTAAGGAAGTATCAGGATATACACTTCTTTTAATTTAACATTGAACATCTCAAGGCAGGAACCATAACTTAAAAATATTGGTCCTTTCTCTGTCTTACATTTTCCCATGTTATTACAAGGTCTCTATAAGTTATTAAACTAGCAGAAAATCGATTTATTTTGCAATGTTGCAGTTACCTTTTGGGCTTTCTTTAAGAAGATTATGAGAGCCTGTCTTAATAAACTTAGGTGATACTCAGGAGGGTTGTATGGTTCCACAGGAAAGGAAATGAAGGACAGATGAGTGACTTGTGCTGCTTGCACACATTCTGGGTTCAAGCAGGAGACAGACAATATTAATTTACAAGAGTCTCCTCATTGAGAAGAAGATCTCACAATAACTTCTCATTCTGGGAGATGTCAGAAAAAAAGTGATTTTTTCAGTCAGTTTCCTGAAATCCTGTCACTTTGGAGTTGTCCCTTCTGAAGGTACAAGTGCGTTTTCTTCTTGTATAAGGAGAAGCAGAATTTGAAAGGAACCCAAGTTAGTTCATAGTTACTGAAACCTCTTCATCCATATTATTCTTTTGTGTAAGTAGGCAGACTTAGACTATCTTCTTTGAAGCTAGTTCAGTTTTAGTAGGTATAGACTACTTTGATACCCATAGTGAAGCCTGGGAAATACCTGTTTTTTTTTTTTTTTTTAAAAGATTTATTTATTTGTTCATATAGAACTGGGGTACAGGCCAGAGGCTCGGGCGGCAAGAGGCTTCACCAGAGACAGAGTGGGGAGCAGAACAGGCAGATCTACGAAGTACACTGATGAGGAGAGCAGCGGGCGGGTCAGGAGAGGTCTGCCACACCATGTGGATCTCCTCTGGGCAGGTGGGGATCGAACTCATGTGGAAGTGGCTTAAGCTTCTTTGTGCTGTGCTTTAACCCGCTGCGCCACCAGGGAGGTCCTGCTTTTTTTTTTTTATTAAAGATTTATTTTATTTATGCATACAAAACTGGGTATAGGCCAGAGATGCAAGTGTGGTGAGAGGATTCAGCAGAGACAATGGGGTCAGAAGAGGCAGAATGACAAAGTACACTGTGAAGGGAGCAGTGGATGAGACAGGAGAGGTCTGCTGTGCCATGTGGGTCAGCTCCGGGGTGGGGCCTGGGCTTAAAGAGGCACTGAAGCGGCTGTGGCCAGCTTGCAGTGTTGTACCCTAATCTGTTGAGCCACCAGGGAGGGCCCGGTTTTGTTGTTTACTGTGTAGTCTGGGGAAAATCCCTCAAGTTACTTCCACTTTCAGGTAGAGACTATGTACCCACCAGGGTTAGTACTCTCTAGTGCACACTAGAGATAGATGCTGCCTTGTAGTGATTCATGTGCTCACTGAAGCAGACAGGTCTGTCCTAGAACCTAGAAACTAGGGATAGTGTTTGTCAGATGATGTCCCCAGTTGACTGACTTTTCTTGGATAAGTTGGTTGACATTATCAGTTTGGATTTCACATAGAACTTTAACTGAAGCTGGATTTTTTTTTTTTTAATTTCTTTATTTGCATATGCTTTACATCAGATGTAGTCCCATGGAACTTCCAACACCAATTTTACCTGTGCACGGATGAAATCAGTCCCTTGTGCTCTTCCTGCTGGTTTTTTGTATCTTCTCTCTACTACCTCCCCAGAAGAGTGCCTCTGAATTATAGCTGTCTGCTTTTTTTTCTATTTATTTTGTTTAGTTTTTTGTATTGATTTAAAAAAATAGATATTATTTTTTTCCTTGATCCCTTACCCTTGCTTTGTTTCCCTATATTCTTCCTATAAGTGAAACCATCTGATACTCTTCTTTTTCTGAAGTGGATTTTTAATATTAACAGCTGATTTCTTTTTTGCACTAACTGGACTCTGTTAGGGAGAAGGACAGGGCTACCAGTTAGAAAGACTGGTAGTGACATGACTTAGGAGCTGTGTTACACTGGGCTAAGTAAAATTAAGGTACTAGCATCTGTTTCCCCTGGGATTATTGTAAGCTTATATAGAGCATATTTAAGGCACTTAAACCATGTGAAATACATAGTGTGTAGTCAGTATTATGATATTTTATTATATAGCATCTTGAGTCAGATGCTGTCCTCTCGGAGATAAAAAGAGCTGGCATATCTAGCAGTAAAAGTCCACTGAAATGAAAAGGAGTAGAGGATTATATTAGAGCTAGTCTGCGGGGTGGGTTGGGGGAACCTGTGTCCCATGCTGTTGAGACAAACTGTGACACAGAACCAAATGGACCAGTGAGCTAAACCCTCTGGGTCTTCAGAAAGGAATAGACTTATTAGGAGATATTGTGAGAAAAGAATGGTTAGAGTTTGGAGTTTGAAATACCCTGCATTCTCTTATAATTCTAGTATTTACCTCCAGGGAGTATGTTATATCTTCCAAAAGGCAACTGGTAACTTCTGATTAAAGGTTTAAAAAAATAAATATTAACTCTTGGGTCTCCCTGGTGGCACAAGGGGTCAAA